CAAATGTTGTTAAATACCTGAAGTTTTACTTTTTAGTATGCCTTTAGTATCAGACTTGTTAAGATATTCTCTGTCTGGCTTGCCTAAGATGCCGCCAAAGTGTACCAAACAGGTACGATTAGGTTAAGGAACAACAGACCACACATATTTTATTTATATATTTGTAGGAACCTCTAACAACCTAAAAAGAAGAAAATTGAAGAGAGCACAGAACAAACTGTTAAGCTGTTATTTAATTTCCCTTTCTGACCCTTATATGTATATTTTTGTCTCCCTCTAAGCAAGCGGAAACCAGTCAATAAATTTACAACAGCTGAAAGTGAATTCAAGAAAAGAAAAATGGAGAAAGAGCAGCAGATTAAGGTTTGTTGTTCATCTAGAATTTGGGTATATAATTTACAAACACACTAACAACTGAATTTACCATTACAGTCAACTCCTGCAAAGCATGCACATAGGGCCAACACCATTTGTCTTGCTTCTACTGGGAAGTGTCTGTCTTGGAGGGGTGTCTAGTGTATGTTAGACATATTGAGGTGTCTGCCTTTGTGAGATTTCTGCTTTAAAAGGTTTTCTGTCTTAAAGTGTTTTAATAAGGTATTTCAGTATTTTCCTTTCCTTTCGTTCTCCTGCTCTTGCAGACTCCTCTCAAACATACTATTTTGTGCTCGTGCCCAGGCACCAGTGCTCGGTAACCAAGTGTGAATGCAGCCATAGCTACCTTGACTCTAGGGAAAGCAGAGCTTAAACACTTCCCTAAAGTGGTTATCTTTCTAAGACAGACACTTAAATGCATCTACCTTAATGAGGTGCCCATTAGAAAGATGTGTCTGCGTTAAGAGAGATATTCGTTTTAGAGAGGTATCTGAATTTGTCTGCGTCAGGGAGAGGCCCAGCTCAGAAAGGTATCTTTCTTAGAGTTCAGAGATGTTTGGCGTGGAGACCTGTCCACCTGCCCACTTTAGAGAGATTTCCACAGTAGAATTCTTCCTTGCAGTGGATAAGTGTCTGTCTTACTTTGTGAACTGTGACTGAAGACAATGATTATTTCACATACTGACTGAAGAGAGAGAGGGAGATTTTGATGAGAGATTTGGCAATATTGTTTTTGATACAATACCATAGAAAATACAGCCAATCAGAATACAGGAAAGCCGTTGTAAATTTGACGGTATTACATCCAACCTTTCCATCATCATGCGCCGCGCGTGTGTCGCATTGATTGTGTTTCCACTATATTTTCTATGGCATGGTATAAAATAGTTAAACAACGCTCTCTCGTTGTATGCCGTGGAATATCTCTACTTGTCACTTGTATTTTCTTGGTATACACACTGGCCTCAAGGCTCGTGTGTGTACATGTACACCGACAAAATACAAGTGACTCGTGGGATATTCCGCGGTATACCAGAAAGCGTTGCATAAGTAGTGTTTCCTAGCAACTAATGGTTTCCTGTGATGTAACATTTTGAGTAATATTTTGCTGGACTTAAATTCATTGGGTTTTTTTTCCTCACCCAGGAAAGGGAGATAATGATACAAAAACACAGAGAAGAAGTCCGCGAGAAAATGAAAAAGCGGAGAGAAACATTCGGCCGCTTAAATCGACGAACGAGAAAAGGGCAGCCGATAATGGCCAATCAAATTGAACATCTTCTTGGCAAGATTCAATCACAGACATGACCAAGTTTAAAAATCTGTGAGAGGAAACGTGAAAATTAATAGAGGCACGGTATCTTTGCTAGCTTCAGGAAATACTTGTTTCTGATTGGTTATTGCTCAAAGTCGGACAATCAGTGACGCTGTACGCATCCGGGTAGTTGTACATCAACAGGATGTTTTGACTGCAATCTCAGATGTTTTACTCGGGAGTAAAACAAGTGACGCGTGAAGAGCTTGTGATATGATAACACCTCGACACGATGCATTTCAAAGATGGCGAGTGACCATGGAGAAATAAAAGGGGCCACGTCACGGTTTCTACATCTTGAAACGTTTAACATAAAATTTTCAAATTCGTCGTTCGTAATCCGTGTTAATCTCTTCCATCCTTAACCATCCTCGTTCCTTTATGATTTATTATTACCTGTTTGCTTTTTTTTCTATCTTAAACTACTATTTTCAGTTTTCCTCAAGTTAAAGGTAATTTTCTATGTGGCCAAAATACCGTAACTGAGGTCCTCTAAGAGCTGGGTAGTGCAACACGAATAGCTAGATAACGTCATTGATTAATAATGCATGTAGCTTTTGCAGGTATTTTAACCTGACTGTGTCCACGAGATATCAAGAATTTGAATCATTTATTTATTTTTTTAATTACACAGATCACATCTGTTGATTGATTTCTCCGTTCAGTGCCAACTTGCTCTATCAGCCTGTCAACACTTACAGCTTAAAAAAAAAACGATTTTCGATTTGGTGATTGAAGAAGTTTACCTAACTAAAAGCAAACTACTCATTAATTATTTACACGAACATTCTACAAGCGCAGACAGCATACATGAAGATTTTTTGCTGTTTACGAAAAACAAACTAACTCGTCTCTGGTCTGTCTGATATTTGGAGCTTGCAAATGTAGAGTTGCGAATGATGATTAGGTACAAAACATCCAGAATCACTCTGTGAAATGCTATTGTAACCGCTCTTATGTACTGAGTGTGCCAGGTGGAGTCAGTAACAAGCTTTTGCTGCTGTTCCTTCTTAAAATTTTGCCGAGAGCCCGTAACGGCCGAGGCGACAGAGAAGTTTTCCTGTCCTTTTTTGTTTTAATTACTTCTCTGTACAGCTCGTGGAATGCTTCAGCCATCTTTTGATAGCCCTCAGATGCAGAGCATTCAAAGAACGAGCATCTCAACTTCTCGGCCAATGTCGCTCCTTCACCTTCGGATACTTGTCGTTCGTGTTCGAGATCCGTTTTGTTTCCGACGATGGTGACCACGGTTTTCTGCTTAAATGGGTCGATAAGGTTCATCAGGCCTTGCACGTCCTCGAAGCTTTTCCGATCAGTTATCGAGTAGACGAGCATCAATCCGTCGGCCCAAAGCGCCCGACTTCCGACACTTTGTTCACCAACCGACTGGGACAAAAAGAAGAAGTACAGGTTAACATAAAGTTTAAAGCTATTAAAACTAGAATTAGTGTCAGTTTGGAATTAACTTTTACACGTTTTGTTAATTTTTTTTTCTCCAACATTTTTGAAAAGGTTTCAGCTGTTAAGTGGTGAAATAATTGCGCTTTTCCAAGAGAATTTCTAGCGTTACGACGAACGACGAGCTGCTATGTTAATTTCACATTTCGTAATTACTTCTAAAGACACGTGTGCTTTCCGTTCAAAATTCAGAAAATTAAAGCTCTATAAGATAGGACCTACTAAAGAAATTTTGCTAATGAATTCCTTAAATGACTTAACTAATCAGCAAGCGTTCTTCACGACCTTGATGTCAGTGGTCATCAATTCCCATCGAAAATCGTTTGTACCAACTGTAAACTGTATTTGAAGAAGGAAATAATCAACGTTTGTCTGTTCTTGTTGGAAATGAATTGTATCGTACCTTTGTAGCATGTAGATGCTAAAAACTGTGAGTTTTATCAGAGAATAGGTATTTCCGAGTTCCCTTGTGTCTGTTTCGAAACGAGTCCTCGTGTAAATCTTTTCACATGGAAAGAAGTGGTTTGGATGAAAATGAACCTGTAGGGAAACACATTTTCACGTGAATAGTTTCGTACGAAGACTCGTTTTGACATCGAGGCAAATGGCAACTAGCAAATGGCCTATTGAAATTACCCGCTCGCAAACACATTCTCGTACCCATGCCGGAGTCGCTTGTCCATCTTAGCTTGCGGGGCTTTGGCACAAGAAAAGATGGCTCTAGATACGCCTGCTCTGATTGGCTAGATCTTTTCGTCGTGCCAGAGCACCGCTGGCGACCCCGCTACAGGAGGCTCAGGAGACACCGCTGAACCTGACTAACCTCGGGACCTGGGTCTAGTATCTCCAAGCTGACTTGGTCATCGTCTATGGTTGTGGTGAACTGGTACGTGGAGTCTGATGAGTGTAAGAATATTCATGAACTGTAGTTAACAAGGTTTCCTAAGTACTGCGAGTAAAGGGCACTTCAAGGCATATTATGGAGCTATGATATGGCTAGGTATCGTGTCCCTAGTTTGGGCGCCATTTTGGAGAGTTGGATGACGTCACCATATATCCAGTTCAGATTGTGGTTGGTTAACTTGTCTAGACACTTGAATTTCGTGGGAGGTGAAACCCATTGCGAATTTTTGAACATATCAGGGGCGAAACCAGGATTTTTCAAAAGGGTGGAGAGGGGGGGGGNACACTGTGTCAAAGTGAAGGTACTCACCAGGGTCTCATGTCGTTTTCACCACCTTGCTTAAAAAAGGCTTACAAAAGGGAGGGGGCACCGACACCCCAGGATCCCCCCTAGCTATGCCCCTGTATATATAGTCAAAATTTATAAATGTCGCTTTGTCAACAAGCACTCGAGTTCGTGTTAGTGGGTTGAATGTGTTATGAATGAGCGTTGACGAACAAAATGTCTTTGTTATTATTGACTGAAGATAAATATCATTCACATAGATTTAGACATAGTTTATTTTACTTGGTCGCATACTTACTATTATATAACGGTGCGTCCCATAGACTTGATAAACAGAGTCTACAGGACGCACCAGCTACTTTACAGGTGCGCCAAGAAAACAAAATAAATATAGAGTAAAATAAAAGCTTACATAATTTTGAAACCTTCCGAAGGGTACTGGAGAAGATCATTTCAAGGTTTCGAAAATTGTCTCCGATCACCAGATGACCCCCGTAAATATATCGAAGATTACCAAGGACCACTCGAATACTTCATCATGAAGGTTACCCTATTATATCATGTTTCGTGCTAGAAAAATGATTTTTTTCGGCAATAGCCTATACATGAAAATGCAAAGCAACCCTAGGATTTAAAGAGGAAGGGTTCGATGGCGATGGGAATTGAACCCCTGTGCAAGCTCCGGAAAAGATTTGTGCTGATCGCCGCCATAAAGCTAGCGAAGGTCACATGAAGTTTTCGGTAACAAAGATGCCCGGAACCCTTTGTGGTTTTCATATTTGATTTAAAAAAACAACACGATTTAGCTTACCTTGAGAGGAATCATATTCTCCGATGAAACGCTTTGTCAAGAATCTCACTGCGATTGCTATGAAAACAAAACAAACCAGAAAGAGAGTTTCAGCTCTTCTGATAACACCTTACTCTTAGGCAAGTTAAGTAAAATTAATGGGCGTTAAGTGAGCTAATTTAACTTTCGGTCTGCTTACTTCTACTTAAAAACGTTAAAGCCGTCTATCGTGAATAATCATGCCGGAAAATCCGAAACGGCTTTCGTCCATTTTTGGCGCCTTTCGGCAACTTAAACAAAATCCAATCGACTCTAGCATATTTGCTGTTTTTTACACATATATTAGGTATACACAAAGCTAGAAACTTGTACCTCAGAAGAAGTTAAAAAATTATTGGCGCCAGATTTGCATTCTTCGCCTCAAATGGAAAATAAAAAAAAAAAAAATTAGAAGTAAAACTATATTGGTGTGATGTCACTACTGATAACTTACCAGTCAATAATGTTTGGTTTTCTGTTCTTTCTTTTTATCTTAGCATCAACCCTAGGCCCCTACTCAACTCTTAAGATGACAGAGATAGATTGAAAAATCGCTTAGCTGAACACAAAGGCACCGCAAAAGGATTAAAAGTTCTGTCAAAATAAGCTCCCGTCTAATTAGCCTGTTTATTAGCGGTAATCTTTGAATTGGAACAGAACCACTTGGTTCATTTGATAACAAGCGTCCATCTGCACGATAATCAGTAATTCGTCCAACTAGCTTATAAACCTACTCATTTGGAAATAACCAAGACTTTCGGATACCGTTATGTCGAGATAACGGCCCGGTCACGGTATCTGTCAGCACGGTGTACATTTGAATTGTTTTGTTTTTATTCAATTCATTATTGTAAACACAATAAAAATATACTTTATTCAGCTTTGTTCTCTGGCTTGTGCCGCTAGTGATAAACAACTTTTGTTTTCTCCAAGTTGTGCTTTTAAGTTCTTAGTGTAACTATGATCGACATCCATGGAAGCTTCAAAACAACAGGAGACCAAAAACATCAGTGCAAGGCTATTCCATTGCTTCATGATTACAGTAGAAACTAAAAGCGTGTCCTACCATGAAATGCTCGGTTTTTTCTCAAAACTGGCAAAATGTAGCAAATGTATGACTTGGCACAATAGTACTTTCGTACATTTTCCCGCCAATCAAATCTACAGGTTTGGTCTAGTAGAAATTACACGATTTTCTTTGTGATGAACGGACTGGCGGATAATTTTTCACAAATGTAGTGATACAGAACATGGAAAGCAAAGTTTTCCGCCGTAGTCCAATTTTGAAGAAAAATAATAACAAACACAGCGGGGACACATCCAAACTATTTGTCGTATTTTACCATTCACTGTTTTCTTGTTTACGCAGGAATTTTTACCGTTGCTGTGCCAGTTTTCAACCTTACTTGACCCACATTGCATCATGTAAAATGTCTTATATGTATTCTTGTTTGTTTTGTCGTAGAGTACTGATAGAACGAAGGTTATACAGCAACAAAATGTGCTCCTGTTTGTGTGTTTGTTTATCGAAGTACGTGAAGCCACGAGGCTAAAAAACAATCATTTTTTGCGAGGGCAGAACGAATCTAGTTAACTGCGGATGATTTCCTTTGCACCAGCCTACACCGGAACGATTCATCTATTTACTTATTTTGAATAAACAAATCATAGATTCGCTTGTGCAATAAAACTCAATGTGACAGATGTCGTACTTTCCTGATCTCTGTTATTCAAGCTTTTCGATCCTTTCCCAATTTGGCAAATATCGCTCGCAAAAAAATGCATCAATACACTATGATCAAGCTGACTTCGAACACGACAGCTTGTCAGCTGGAATATGATATTATGATATTACATATTACATATCCTCGAAGCAAGCACAGAATGTAGCTTTTATACACTTGTCAGTTAGGCTTTATTGTAGATTAAACCACGTCGATCTATTTAAAAAGCAATATTGTGTAACTCCTGCTTGGAACTCAAATCGAGCAGAAGCTTCAATTCGGCTGAAGCGCTGAACGGTTCGTAAACACGCAAATGCTGTTCAGAAAAAGGAAAATACCGTCGACGCAAGTGGCATTCAGACTTCACTTGTATCGCGATCAGAGAAATAGAGGGTGCAGTGCCTTTGTACTGCAGACTGAAAAGCTTAAGCCTTAATTAGGAATCTATTCCATACTGATAAGGAACTTTACGGTTTCGAGTATGCAATTAAAGAATAGTACAGAATCTTGCACTGCATATAAAAGCCAATACCCGTAATTAATTGTGCGGTCTTTTAAAACGTTATTTTGTTAACAACACGTTGAATGTATTAGCGCATCGTTAACAAAAAAAAAATCATACCATATTACAGTACATATTATTGTTACTTTTAACTGATCCGGCCATCACATCGCAGAACAAACTGAATGCCTAGTTATCCGCGAGCGCCTGAAATTCCTCCATTCACATAGTCTCTACCTCCCCTCCGGTGACCCGCTCAGCACCTCTCGGGCACATTACGGGAGAGAACCTTGTATGTGCGTTCATTGGGGGTTCGTTCATGCCGTGTCGTTCCCTGGGATATTTTGAGCCGAAGCGCACAGAGTAAAATAAAATAACTTGCCTGATTTTCCCACGTCCCTTGCTCCTAGCAACGCAAACTTTGCGTCAGTCTGCTTGTAAGAATCTTTGCGAGTCAACATTTCCTGAAGCTGTCGCAGTTTGAAGGATAATTAGTCCACTACCACAGGCTTACACTGGAGAGGAGACCGCTCGTCACTTTGATTTGGACGCCCCAGCGATAATGAAGAAGCTGAATTAATTTCATCCACGATGCCAGGCGTGAAATCGATCAATTCCCAGCTAGTGTCATTCAAATTTGTTAGCTTTTATGTGTGGTGTTTGTTTGAAGTGCTCCGCTCAAGTCAGCAAAAGAACGTTTTAACATAAAGAGAGAAATTTAACAAAGGAGTCAAAAGAGACGGAAGTTTCATAATCACGCACTCTTGCTTGCTAATTTTGGGGGCTGAATATTGCAGCAGAGATCACTCAGTCTAGACGGCCATCACGGCCAGTGATTTGCCCAGTTAATGAATTTTGCGTTTCTCACTAAGAAGGATTAACAGCGCATTTTAAGAGAAAAAGTCATCCCGTAAACATGATGACCCGGTAATTCATTAGGCTAACAATTGTTAAGAAAATTGAATTGCTCATAAGCGTAACACGTTTAATTAATGGGTGTAAAATTTTATTATCCTGTCGTGTTTTTTTTTTTGCAAGGGTCCCTAATGCAATTCAAGGCAGGTAATTAATCTTGTTGTCACCAAAGCCAAGCTCAAAATCTAAAAAGCCAAGCTCAAAATCTAAAAAGGAAACCAAGACAGAAATTTCAGGTGAAATTAAATTTAGTTGGAAACAGAAATCAAATATCTGAGAAATCGAGATGACATAGTTATGTTTAAATTGTGATTGTAAAAATACCATATTTTATTTTGTCCTCTTGAACTTTTTATATTTTTTCCTTCTTTGTCAAACAGATATGCATCAGTGAGCAATGCGATGAGTACACATGTGCACAACTATTAATATTAACCTTGATGTTTTGTACATAAATTTACGACAAATCATCCAGACAATTTTAAGTTTTAAGTTCCTTGCCAGGCATTGAAGTGTTAAAACATTATTGGAGCCAAGAAAAAAAATTCTCGTGGCAGCGGTGGGATTCGAACCCACGCCCCCGAAGAGACTGGTGCCTTAAACCAGCGCCTTAGACCGCTCGGCCACGCTACCAGCTGCTCCATCGCAGGGCTGAATTGGCAGACAAATTTTTAAGCCTCTTCACGCTCTCCTTTGTCTCTTCACTGATAAGCAAGGTCATCAATAATCATTTCTCTTAAAAGCCTTTCTTTCTATAACATCACTGTTTATATAAGTAATGGTCAGTCGTGCAAAGTTAATATGAAATAAAGATGCATGAAATTCTGAACGGTCTTTGACTCGAATAAAAACAAACTAACACAAACATTTTCACCCGACCGTCACTTTATCTGAGTTGACCTGTCGTCGGCCGATCGCAGAAAAACTAGAAAGTATTTGAACCTGAATTTGAAGGAAACTACAGAAATATATTTAACAGGACAGTTGCCATATAGTTTGAACTTCGCCGTAGTGTATTCAGCCGCCTTGCTTGTGCTGACGTAAAGACGGTATGCAAATATATTCCATTTAAAATTATATTCATGCACATAATATTCAAATTTTCGGGCGCACTCAGCTGAAAACCGTGAACATGTTATGCCTTCTGACCTCCGCATTTGCCATGTGTGTTTTTTATTTGTTTTTCATTATTATTTATTTATTTATTTATTTATTTATCTTAATGAAACTCTTGCTTCATGACGAGAGACAACTTGTTGAAAGCGGAGTTCAAGGATGCAGAGGTGCGCAGAAAAGCCGAGGAGCATTTGAAACTATGGAAAATACTTCTTCAACTCGTAAATCGAGGAAGGAAGTAGAAAGGATTGCATTCGGCCGAGCCAGTTTATTTCCTTCATTCTCTTATTGGACCAGACTCTTGGCAAAAGGTTGAATTAAACAGGAAACACCTTTTAGTGACAAACCTATTGCGTATTTTTTTAAAAACACACCTTCATCATCGCAGGCTCAGAACCTAATCGCTCCACTCGTATAAAAGAACTCGCAGCTCAGCCAGCCCGGGCGTTGTAGCTTGCGAGAAGGCTCACTTTAGAGGCACTCGTGCTAGCGAAATGAAAAATTTGGCAGAAATCCGAGAGGGTTTACTTTTAAACGCGACCCTGCTAAAAAAAAAAGGAGTACAGAGGATCTGAGATGCCAAGCACGTGACACGTGTCAGCCAGTAGTCTGTACCAGGTTGCTCAGAGTAGTATAACACATTGGAGGAGGTTTATTTTCTCGTTTCCGCAGCTCTTTGAAGTCCGAACAACTGGGACTGACTACAAGATTAACCGTGGCTTTTGTGCCTCACTGTTCTGCTTCCCTCAGAATACTCAAGAAAATAGACAGTCAAGTGTTAAATTGCCTCGTTACCTCGTGCCCAAAATATGATCGGGGTAGTGTTTCGTACGTGGCAGCCCGCTCCAGACTCATACACATGTGTAAACGTGGTGATATTAAAATAGAGCAGAAATGAAATCTGACACTTCCTGATGACAATCGAAGAGCACAATAAAAATATTCACTTCTTAGCACGCGGCGGAACAACAAAAGGATGTTTGCGACAGATGCGATCTGATCTTCTCAAGACACACAGTGGGAGACTGGAAGGAGGGGCCTGTTGTAAACCATGCACGCATAGGGAGGGATGGTAGCGGACATAACTCCGGGTCACAACTTGAGAAAACGCATAAGCGCTGTCATTCTCGTCTGGTAATACATTGTGCGATTTAGCGATCTGGCTCTGTTCTGGAAACTAAGAGTCTGAAGTCAAAGAGATCATACGGGACCTTAGATGGAATGTTCATGTGATACGGACTGGCCGGACTTAGATAAACACCAGCCCTCCCCTGTCGGAGTGATTCCCACAGCTTATATCCACTTTCAAATTCCGTTGAAATATTTCCCTAGAGAATGTGTCCTTCAGAACATCGACTGACCGTTAAGAAAATATGAAGTATTTCCATCTAAATATGCCCTCAGTTTCTCCGGTATCGCGAGGGTCAGATATATAATAAATATTTTGCCTTACGAAGTCGTCTTCACATGTTCTTTGTATTGAGGTTAACAAGCTGGAGAAACAAAACATTGGAGACCTTGTAAACGGATAATTAATTTAATTACGAGATATTACGATACTTGTTAGGCAGAAGTGGGGATGACTTATTAATGAAAGCGTTTAACGGCAAACGGGCCACCTTGTTCAGAAGCATATATCCCTTAGAGTATGAGAGTCTTCGAACATGAAGCAGGCTTGATCCATATGGCTTTTGCCTTCAAGCAAGAGGTGTCGACCGGAAAAGGCGGTAAGCCTTTGTGTTTCCAAGCAGTCATGCTCTTGTTATTCAAACAAAGACTTAAGAAAATCTCCTTTGCTTTTCACCACTCGAAAATAGCCAAACCCCGTTGCGCCAAATACGAACGCAAATCGAAAATTCCCCTCCAATTTACTAGACTTGTCCGAGCTAATTAACTAACTTTGTTTTTCCAGTGATCAGTGTCACTAAGATCCGACTTGTTTTTCGTTGGGTTGGCCAATGAAATTGACTGATCTAGAAATCTCGCGATCTTTGTTATCTCTAAGATCTTTATTAGTGACATTGCGTGGATTGTCAATAGGTTCGTAACCAGGAGCTTGCACCCAGTGCGACGCAATGATTGGCTGAGCGCGACTTGGCGGCTGTCACGCATGTCACACAAATAACCCGCGCTCGTGATGACGGTTGAATCAAGCTCATTCACGTCGGCGCTTTCGGGTCAGTCTTACTTCTGGGTCAGTGTTTGTGGGATCGAAGAAATGGAAAAATTCGCTGAGTTTGTTTCATCTATTGGGCAGAACGCGCGCTCGTCTCCGTACATGCCTCCGAATGCGCCAGTGCCTCGGGTAACTGCGGCCCCTAATTCCCCACCAGCGAATTACGTGAGCTGCGATTTAGCGAGACAACATTCTCTTTCAATGAGCACTCAGTCGCAAGCTGGTAATGTCAAAATTTTATTTCATTTTCTCGAATCGTATTAATGTCCGGAAATTGGCACGCATAAGCGAAGCTCTCTAATGATGGTCTTAGACCACTGTTGAATTGCCTGAGCCGTGCGTTTGCCCCGTCTAATGATGTTTTGTCAATTGCGTACCAATTACTTCAACAGGGAAATTTTCGCCTCCGGTTGGAGGCTCAACACAGCTTTCTCCCAGCCCTCAGTCGTGTATGGAGATGGAGAGCGAAAACAACGATTCTTCCTCCAAACGTAAGAAGCGTCGAAACAGAACAACCTTTACGTCCTTTCAACTGGAAGAGATGGAGCGTATTTTTCAGAAGACGCACTATCCTGATGTTTACACGCGGGAGCAGTTGGCACTGCGTTGTGACTTGACGGAAGCTAGGGTGCAGGTAAATATGGTTTTTTAATGCACGCCGTCGCGCAATTATTCGCACTTTTCTTCTCTGCGAGGTTCTCGAGATTTTGTCCTTCCAATATTAGAGCTTAACTTCCTGCATGAATTGTATGGCCACTTTACGCAACCTGTTATACTAATTCAATTAAGTTGTTGTTGTTACATCCATGCGATAACGAAACGAGATTACTGTAGTTACTGATAGACTCTGCTCTCTGCTCACGGGTTTACGGCGCCTGTATATTTGCTTTCTGTAAATTGCCAATTCCTTTCTGGTTAAAATTGGTTGAGAATCACTGGAAGCCAACAGAAATCTTCAACTAACATAACAGACCCACTTTACAACTCTGTGCTTCTACTGAAGTGAAAACAGTGATACGAGAAATATATATATTTAAGTATGTGATTGTAAAATCAGAATTTCTCTATCATCTTATGCTTTATCTTTATGTAGCAGCAATGTGCTATAAAGTCGTCAATGAAATATTCTTCTTAGGAAACGATTTTCAAAGTCACGAACCCTTTTCCACTGCGTTTGAGCTCGCGCCGGCCGTAGCGTAGCTTTCATTTGTGAATGAATTTCCTGTACCAACCACATGGTGTGTGGTTGGTACAAAGCTAGGTGGATTTTCCCTCATATTCACTGACACAGAAGCTGTTAGCCGATTATTTCAAGATCTAGAAGTCGTGCGGTGTACTGAAATGAACATTTTGAGCGCCTGTGGTTGAGTCGGCGTACTTTGACGTAGAAGGCTTCAAGAGATGCTAGAGATGTGGTCTAAAATGATGTTTCGCAGTCCTAGCCGAAAAAAAAAAAATTTGGTAAACACATCGCCCTTTGCGAACAGAAAACTTGGTAATATCAAACGTAGTGAGTCTAAACTACTTCTTGCCAAGGACTAATCTTAGACATCCTTCCAACAACACGGAATCGACGAGAAAACCGCATGTAACGTACATACGTTGAATAGTTCTTCTCTCAGGAAAGGATATGACAGTCGCGCAACGCAACAGTCTCCCACTCATTCCTTGCGATTACTTGCTCATTGCTTGAAAATGCAAGATTGCATGTCAGGAACTGTCGATGTGATTTTTTGCGTACTTTGTAAAGCGAGTGGTTTACAACTTTAGGACAGTGCACTCTTCTCTCGCTACACCGAACAGCCACTGTATCCGACGGCGTTGTTTAGTGACAAGACGGAAATTTACCTTCGTTTGAAAAAGACACGTTGTTTAAAAATAGCGCTGAAGCTTTTATATTTTCAGTTGTATCTTAGGTTTCATTATTTTTTCGAGAGTCGCTGAAATGAATCACTGAGTGAAACAGACACGAGTGGTGAGGAAGAAATTTACAAGTCTTCTTAAAATTTCAGGTCGCTTGAAGTAGTCTTGGAATCTTCGTCGGGTAAAAGCTTCAAAAAGAATTTCCGATTGCGAAGATTCTCGACATTCAAAAAAGGCTTCTTGCCAAGTGGCGTGGTTTTTCTTTTCCTACACCCCTAATGGATACGAAAATCCTTCTTTATCTGCTCATGATTGCTTGCTGGCGTTCGCCCTCGATTGAACGAATGGTCCTCTATCATCAATCATTAGGGAAAGCTATCAGCCGTTTAACTGCTCACCGTTGGTCCAAATGACGCAACACAAGATCTTTATAGCCTGACTAAAAAGTTACACCATAAAAACGCGCGTATAACTGCTTCAGCAAATTGCTATTTGTTACGCTGTACATTATTAAAACAATAAACACATTAGCTTGCCTCAATCACACGCTAAAAAGGTAATCAAGCAAGGGAACCCTCGTGGTTTTATTATGTTTGGAAAAGCATCTGGAACTAGTCGTTTTAAATTGAAGCGCGTTTCAGTTAGCCCGTCACACTTAGCTCGTTCAGCGTTGGTTGATATGGAATTTTTATAAGCACTGATTTATAGGATCTACGAAAGGGCGTGAGCAAAGACCGTTGTTTCAAGTCTTTTGCAGGATGGCGGGTAACTGCCTTGGTTCCTCCGCAAATGGCACTAAACGTTGCGGTAAAAGAAACTGGATGTTCCGAACGGAAAGTTTTGTATTGGAAGGGCGGAAAGCAAGCATTTATAAGCGTTCACTACTCTATAATTTTTGATGCGCCAAATTCTTGCACAGTTAATCGCTTATCTAACCCTTGATCGTGAGTGTTTTCCCTATCAATACTTCGATGTGTATCGCAAGTTGTGACTGATGATTGAGCTGTCAGATTTTAAGGTTGGAGAAAATTTATCTCTCCCTAAACGCAAGACATAAGAGGCGGGAAATCAGTGTTTTAAAAGCCATTATTTTCGTTTGAACCGCCGCGCACAGTCATTTGCACTCGATTTAGTCAGACCCTTGGTTTCGAACTGTCGTGTGTTTTATTTGGTGCAAAAAATGTGGCGGCAACATCAAAGGAAACCTGATAAAATTTGCCTGGCGTTACATTAAGCAGTCTGTGTAATGTCTGTTTGCTTATTCTCCATAAGCAAATTGTAAACTTGTTAGCTGGGACCGCTAAATGATTTTATATGTTTTCCTAATTAAACGCTTTGTTCGGGCAATTTTCACGTCCAACATGAACAGATAAAATAAGCATTTAAAATTAAGAGGTCGCAACAGAAGTTATGAGATATTCATAAACATCACATTCTACTTTCTTATCGAGAGAGCTAAGGGAAAGCTGACAGCGGAATATTATAGCGGCTATTGAGACGTTATTTGTTTATCCTATTAACTCTGACTAAATATTTAAGTTTTTTTAAACGGTCAAGGTTAGAATTGCAAAGTCGGCTCAGTTGGATTGGAGAAACGCGCGTGTTTTTAGCGTTGTTTTTATTGACGTATTCGGGAAACTGATACCGGAAGTCAGGATGCATGGTGTCTGACACTGTGATACTGCCGAACCACGCAATAATTTATTCTCGTCTGTTAAGCTTCACGTAATAATGTTCCACTTCTTTTCATTCCTTTCATGAAAGTACTTTGTTCCCACTCCAAACCTCACTGCACTTCGATGGAGTCCAAAGAGACATTTTGAACATTTCGTCTCGGCACCATATGATCGGTCCCAATTCAGTGGAGTCACTAGCAAATTCCTGCATCTTCGCTTTTGCCCCCTTTTTGACAAACTCGTGGGCAATTTAACCGTCGAACTCAAGACCAGAGTTCCTGTGGATTAGGTTGGAAGTCGTGCTCGGAAATCTGCTGTCGTCGCCTCCAAATGACACTCACTGTATGTCGGCCACTGTAGCTGCGGCTTTTCTTGTTTTATCATGTTTAATAGTCTTTTATTTTCCCCTAATGTTTAACCCTGACCGGTTCAACGTTTTTTTTAAAAAAGACATTTTGTCTTTGTGAACACAAAAAGCCACATTTGTAATGTTTTGAAGGTGTCTCATAACACAGACCAAGTAATCTCTCATTTTTCTTTCTTTTTTTGACTTTTTGAAAGCAAATTTTTATGTTGAAATATTCACAGAAAAAGACATAGCATGTATGCATATCGAGAATTGCCACATTCTACTAGATGAAACAAATATATTTTTCACAAACACTTGTTACTCTACGAGAAAACATTTTCTTATCGTGCTCTCAAATGGAAATATCTAGGATGGGTCTGCGAATGCCAGTAACTTTTTGAGTTAGAGCAAGGCACATGGTCTCAGCCATTTATCTCATGGTTGATAAATTGTCGTAAATAGATTCCGTCGGCAAAAATAAAGAACTAAGAGAGGTTAATCCAGGCGCATAGCGCTCAACGGGCCTCTTCAAACTCGCACGCACAGTTATCATGAAATAAACCGGGTTGTTGAGGCTTCTGTCATCTCCGTGATGCGAAAAAAGCATTTGTAAAAAGAGAATTTGATCATACTGTTTTAGGACTACTTCCCAAGCCCAAACTAGCTTGGCCTAGTGCTGTACCTTTCTGAAATACCTCTTCTAGGAGCAATTGTTTAGAGTCCTACATCAATGTTAACCTTTGATTGGAAAGGTGATCTGTTTTCTGCCATATTTTTATCGAAGAGGCAGCACGCGTGCCCGCCAGATTTAGTTAGATTAATGAGGAAGATGCTGTTGGTTTTAAGATCGGCCATCAATTCAGGGAACGTAAAAGTCTGAATTATCATTTACCTGAAAAGCCGTGATCTCGCGTACACCTCTAGGGGAAGCTTTAGAACAGTTTAAGAGTATTTTAGAGAACACTTCCTTTCTTTTGGATAAATTATTGATAAGAGATAAGACCGAGGTCGAGAGGAAGGCGAGCCGATGGTTGTCTCTGCGGTCACTTTGTGATTTCTTCCTAGACAGTTCAGTTTGCTGTCGAAGCATTCCAACATGTATACGAAATAGAGAATGAATTGTTTTCAGAATCTTATGTACTTTGTCTTCTGTCTAGCAAGCATGAAGCATTCCACTTCTTTTAATTATCAGCGAGTGCAGAAGACATTGTTTGATGTGGCTCAGTGAAGCAGCTAGTAACTGAACATATGTGTGCCACATGAGTGGCTGAGATCTCTGCTGAACGCAGTTTTGTTACTTTGTTATTGCTTTCCTGAGCAAAGCTCGAGAACGATTTCGACTTACTGCAGAAGATTTAAAAGCAATCTGCTATATCTCTTCCTACTGCTTTCCGCTTTTGCTTCCGCTTTTGAACGAACAAGTGTTCTGCTGGCCTCGTGATCACAAAGGACGCGATATTTGTTCAATCCTAAAGAACGGTTTTTCCCCTTTTTGATGGTGTCACTGTATCGTCCGTTATAACCTTGAAGAAGTAGGTTTAGTTTGTTTAGTGCAACACTCGCTTTGGAATTCTCTCTCGAGAAGCTTTCTCTTCGCATGGACTAAAAGACCTAGCTCTGCTGATGATTAAGAAGATGTTCCATTAGTGCCTGGTTATGCTTAATTATCAAACGAGGTTATTATAGTTTTTCTTAATTCTGTCATTATATTTTGCTGTCTATGACCGATAGCGATAGTTCACTGAT